AAAAGAGATGGCGGTGTATGTTGATTTGTACACGACCACATTTTTTGTGAGATGTGGTCGTCAGCCGGGATTTTTGAATTTTCGACGGCATGCTTCGTACGCACAAGTGTAATCGCCCAACGTGATATCCACGTCCACATGAGTTGCCTTCATTACTCGTCTGTTGTTCTGGTGCTAGAGACGCCTGCAGCAGTACGCACAACATGTTTTGCTACAATATGGTACCTGTACACCCCGATGTGTTTGCTGCAACGATGTGCTGCCGTGTATGACACAAGATAACACACCCCCCTGGACGGATTTTGAAAGCTCGATTCATCACCAGCAGAACGAGTCGCAGCGCCGAAAACGGCGGTGTTGAAGCTGTCTTGTCGAGAGCTCTCCGGAAACGTATCGTGTTGTTCATGCATCCTCTTCGTCGTGGAGTAATCGAGCTGTGGAAATCGACCCAGGGGGTGTGTTATCATGTGTCGTACTTCGGTCTGAAAGTTAAACTCTGCATGAAAATGCGCCGATGTCGTCACACTTTCGCGAAAGGTTGACCGGTTGTTGCACCTCTGCACATCACGTACTACTTGGGTGATCTCCAACTCTGAAATACTTGCTGCAAGTATTGCTGTAGTGCAAAACAACGAATAACAATGTGCCGCACTGCCTCGTGCTTCAAACTCCCAACCGCCGCTCAAGCAGGAAAATCGCTCAACAGCCTCGGGATCATCGGCCGACCACAGGAACGGCAGTTCAAGCGACAGCGGCGGGCTGGCTCCGACGCGACCCGCGCGGAATTTGCGATGCAGCAGATGCTCACCAGCCGCGAAAAACGCTCGATAGAGCGGGGTTGGAGAAGGAGAGACAGAAAGCTTCGAAAGGCCTTCGATCAACGTGGAGCCTACCTCGGCGGCCGGATCAAAGACTTGACGGCAAACGTTGCAGCCAACGAGCAACACATCAAGCGTCTCCAGGACGCCCTCCGGACTGGCCACCTCCCCAGCCTTCTCCTCCCCCTCCCCCTCCCTTCCGTGGAGGACGGTGAGAACGCGGGCGATAGGACGTGGGCCGAGGACACGGGAAAACCGCCGGAGGAAAAAGTAGCCGAGAAGCAGATAATCCGGTTGTGGCAGCAAGCGTACTCATCGTTGGAGGTGCTGAAAGAGGAGCGGGAGCGCGACGTCAAGCAGCTGGAGCTCACGCGGAAGGCGAACGAGGTTTTGTCCGGCTGCAAGCATGCAACGGATGCCGCCGTGAAGGAAGCCGATGCCGAACGGTTTGACCTGCTCAACGAGGCGTCGTTGGTTCGGCACGAGGCTTCGCTCCTGCGGATGGCGGCAAAGGTAGCAGGTTCTAGTCCGCAGGCTTATGCGCCATCAACGATCCTGAGGTGGCTCAGAGACTTTCGGAAGGAAGGTGGTTTCAGGCGGGATGCACGGGGTGCGCACGAGCCGGACTGGATCATGTCAGAGGAGGATCTGAAGAGTGCGTTGCTGGCGTGGATGATATCACAACCGCGTTTCACCATCAAGGACGTCTGCAAGTACATCAACGGGCCTCTGCTCCAAGACGACAAGGAGGATCTTTCCAGGCTCCATGCGTACCAGGTGAACCTTCCGGTTTCGATGTCCACGACGCACTCGTGGATGATAAGGTTGGGTTGCAGGTACGAGCGGGCCACCAAGTCGTTCTACACGGACACCCACGAGAAGAAGGAGGTAGTCGAGTACCGCGGCGAGTACATAGAGAAGAGACGCAAGATGGCGCTGCGTCAACCCTTGTGGGTACGAGTGCAACGAGCCGCTCTCAAGCAGGAGGAGGTGGACCGACTCGACAGCCTTAAGTCGCGAGGCCCGGAAGGAGATTTCTACGCAGAGGTGTACGACTGCAAGATCGATGGACAAGACTGCATCGAATTCCACGTAGATCTCCTGCGCGACGACGGCTCCGTCGATAACTTCGACAAGCTCCGCGCCGCACTTGGTCCAGAGGGTGGGGACTACAGCGTTCGCTTCGATCAGGCCGCTGCTGCCCAGTGCGAGCATTTCCACCCCCCGAACAAGTGCAGATGCGGCAAGAAGGTGCACCACATCGGGCAGGACGAGAGTGCCTACAAGGCGTATGCACGCGAGGGCAAAGAGTGGGTGA